TTAAACAGCTTACAGATAAAATTCGTTGCATAGTTTGATAAAGAATTGACTTAAGGAAAAAAAATATTTAACATTCAGATAGCCAAAGTCTATATAAATATTATCAATGCTCAACAAACTGTTATCTTTTTCTTGACGCAAACACACTTCGGAAAAGCGACGCTAGTTTCCCTCGCACAGAGAAGTACAAGGAATTCATAATAGTTTCACTTCTTCGTATTCCAAAGGTTAATTTCTGGATGCTCGGAGTGTACTTTGGTTACGACTGCTTGAGCTCGCGTTATAATATCACAGGCTGCTTTAGTATTTGAAACAAGTAACATATTCTTCATATATAAAATCAAAAAAGATCCCAAAACTCAAGGCATAGAAACCTTTTGCTGAAGTGATTTCTGAGGTACAAACGAAGCAGACAAAATAATTTTATTGTAAGAGAAAATTCACTTGCATTATTTAAAGATTTGTGTGCAGGGATGTGGAGTCAGTAGGGAAATTGACCGACTCCTGGAATTTTAAAGACTCCGACTCGACTCCCTCATACATGTACATGTAAACATATACACATGGATTACAGCTTTTTTTTTTAATATAAAAGAAGTAATAGATGCTATAGAAAAAAATTGATGGCATAGCAAATTATTTATGTTAATTAGCATTCAATTATGAAATGGAAAAACTGGCATTAGTTATTTCTAAGAAACAGTATATAGCTTCGGCAAGTTCTTTGTTGGAGGGCCAATAATCCGATTTGATAGACTTCAGAGCTGAGACTTTGATAGACTTCTAGATTTAATAGACTTCAGAGCTGAGACTTTGATAGACTTCTAGATTTAATAGACTTCTTTCCACACTAACTTGCGTAAGAGGAATAGCTCTTACTGTTAGGGTTACTTCTTTTAACTTTTCACGATAGATTTTTATACGTTCTAAAAGAAGTGTCTTGCAAGCGCAATCATATTTATCTATTTCTTCAAAGGCCATGCAGAAATCTTGTTTGTATGTTTTCATTTTTATATCTAAAGACACTTGGTTCTTTATTTTCATTCATTTTGCCTTAGCCTTTTTCAATATTATCCAAAAATATTTCTCAGAATCTAATTCATCACTGGAAGAGAATGATAGAGACTCAACTGCAGTGTCTGCAGTTTGACTATACTGATTCGAATTCTCCAATTGTTCTTAGAATAATTTCATTCTTAATGAAAGTTCATAGATGGCTTTCTTTGCCTTTTTAATTTGTTCGTCATCCAAAAAAATTCCGTATTTCGGATCTACATATATTGAACTCAGCAAGATCTCATTGTCTAGCAAACTAGTTTCTCTTTTCTTCATTGAAGAAATGATTCCTTCTGCAATAAACCCTCCAATTCAGAAAGAACAAGCATCCCAGTCTTCCATTCTCGCCTCATGTCGATTCTTCAGATTATAGCTTTTTTGTGGCTATATACGGTGTAGAAAAAGAAGGGTTTCCAATTTTGTGAGATCATTCTACAGTCTTTCTGTTAGTGAAACATTAGGGTTATCTACATCTTCTAAAAAAGTTCTTAATTCTAAAAAACCTCTTATCATCAAATAAATATGTACTTCCTTATCCCGTTGCTTGATCAATAATTGCTCCTTTTCCTGATCGCTTCCTAAGAATGGCATCAATTTCGGGAGTTCTTGCTGCTATTTCTGCTTGCCTAAATTTACCAGTGAGATTTGTAACTAAATGAATCAGTTTAATCATTAATGGCAAATATCACATCCATCCGCCTCCCTTATATTTATTTATTAATATGTCAATACAATAGAAAATAACTATTTATTAATGTATACAGTTCATAAATAAAAATAATAACTCAGTTTGTCATTAATTTTTTTTCAAATTCATTTTAATTCCATTTCAAATTCAAACTGTCCAACAAAAACTGCAGTCGGAGTCGACCTGTTTTTAGCGACTCAAGCTCCGACTCCTTTTACTCCAAAATCTGTCCCACTCCATGACTCCAAATCCACAACCCTGTTTGTATGAGTATGTTTTCTGGCTAATTTCTTTCAAAGACCTGAGCAAAATTATACTGTAATTATGCAGTCTAGACAGCTTTATAGCATAAAATAAATAAGAAAATTTTACGAATTAATTCCCACCAAAAACGCTATAACATATTGAGTAATAAAACATTATTATTTAATATGTGCAACTGGAATTTTGTGGCATGTGTATCATATCCCACCCTCTTTAATATTTAGAATGTGTTAAACAATATTAAAACAAATAGTATTGTACAAAATTAAAACTTTTCATTTTTGAAGAAAAAAAAACAGCCTGGGGCTTATATTATAAAGCAAATATTTTATATTAAGTACTTCCGAAACACGTGTATCTAAGAAAATTTAAATACAGGGTGTTTAATTTTGAATGGAACAAAAAGAAAGTATGCCTATGGACGCTGTAATTATTTTATTTTGATAAATCAAATCTACAGTGAAAATACAGTTATCCAAATTTCTAACATATGTTCATTGTGTGCCCATCCGGTGATATGGCAAATATCTATGAGGTATTCCAGTTCGTGACACCCCGTAACAGAACATCCTTAGTTAACCCTTTGCGGCACAGTGTTTCCGGTCTGGACACACCTAAAACTTTCCTTCTGTACGCACAGAAAAATTGAATGAAAAAGGATTTATAGGTTACTCTGAACCTTCTTTATTTATAGTAGAGGCACTCACACAAACCATCCATATATTTAGCCATGTTTAGTTTTTAAGACCCTCATTTTTCAAAGAAATCTTCCAGATTTTTTAGGGTATAAAAGGATTGTTTGAAAGAAATTTCTAGTTTATTTTTTTGGTTGTAAGAAATTTCATTTGTTTCATGCTAATCTCCTTAATCTATATTAGTTTATATTTTTACCTTGAAATCTTGCCTAAAATCAAACGACGAACCCTAGATGTGCCCAGACCGGGCTCACCGATCATCTAGAACAACTGAAAGTATGTATTCTTTGTTTCTCCGCATCTCATCGGTCAGTTCATTGACAGCAATGCTCGTTTCAGCACTCTTTTCGAAGCTCTATTCAATCAGTGTGCCACTTTGGGCACACCCACAGAATTAAAACGATAAGTGCTATCTTCAAAAAATTTTACTTGTGTATTTCTCTAGGCCTAATTAGACTGCCTACCTTTTTTTCTTTTTTTAATCAAAACTTCGACTTTAAAAGGTAGCGTGCCGGAAATGGTTAATGATTCGAGCACTTGATTTACCCGCTGCTTCAGTTCAGGGGAAATGAAAGCACTAACACTTTGTCTTTAATAAAACCCCATAGGAAAAGTTACAAGGAGTTAGCTCAGGGCATCTCGGTGGCCAGCAAAGCATATCGTCTGACCCAGTACGGATAATCCAGCGATGGGATGGACTATCGTTCAGGTACTGGCGTATGTTTTTATGCCAATGTGGTGGAGCACCGTCTTGCTGCAGAATGAAGGCGGGAACCGATTCTTGCAACTGAGGGAACAACTACTGATAGCATATCTTAGTAAATGCAACCATTGATTTTTCCCGAATTTTTCACGAAGCAAAAAGAAAGAGTTAAAAAATCTGAATTTTGCGTATAGCGGAGCTGCTCGACATTACAATCGACATCGTTAAATCAGAGAAACCCCAGTGTAGGACCATCACACTGGGGTTTATCTGCGTTTCACATTTTCAACTCGCGCCGCTATGAAGAAAAACTGGAGCTGCGCGGGCTACGCCAGATGGCTCAGATAAACCCCACTGTCACAACGCTTGAGAAACTAGCGAAAGATATACCGAGACAAATGTTATAAGTAAGTAAGAAACAGATAAATAAATAAGTATACATTCATGTTGTAGAGTCATTAGGATTTTTTGAAGCAGGAGATATGCAAAATGAGCGATGCTCTAGCCGGGATTCAAACTTGGACCTCTCAAATACGCACCGAATGTGCTACCATTACAGCACGAAAGCCTGCAGAAAGGAGAGAGAAAATACGTCATATACGTCCCCTTTTAAAGGGCAACTGGGGATTAGGGGATTCAATCGCCAAAGCCTGGTGGTGACGAATTATCGTCTACCACCTTTTAGTTCGGGCGCCACTGTAAAGTCATTAGGTTATTTTGAAGCAGAAGACGTGAAAAATGAGCCATGCCCTCGCCAGGACTAGGAGCCTGGACCTCTCGAATGCGCCTCAATTGTGTTATCGTTACAACACGAAGGCATGCTGAAAGGAAGGATAAAACACATTTTAAGGTTATTCTTTTTTTTTTTTTTTTTTTTTTTTTTTTTTTTTGTTTTTTTAAATTTTAGTTTTATTATTTTTAATTCATTCCTAAACTTTCTTCATCTCTACTACTAAATAATGAAGAATCGGTATATGTATATATATATATATAATTTATTTCCTAATGTATTATGCTCGCATTGTGGAAAACGGCGCCTTCTAGAGCCACCAGATTTTAAATACACACCTTCCACCCGAACATGTGCACCTTGAAGCCTAAATTTTGAATTTGTTTAAATTTATTTCAAATTTTGCGCGACCTTTTCATTAAAAACTCAGCGATATAAAAGCTTTGTGTTGCCACTCGGCAAGATGGTTATATTTCAGTTTTAATAATAAAACTCCCGCTGCCCGAATTAAAAGTATTTTTATCTTCCACGTGGTAGTGTGTTGTTCACAAAAAGCGCAAGATACTTATTCTTCTTTCAAATTTATTCGGTTATTACTTAATAAACTAAGCGATTTAAAAGCAATAAACGCAGACTGCTTTCTATTATTATTCACTGCTAAGCTGCATTCGTTCAAAATCTTAATTTTTATTTTTATTTTCTATAGTAACTATTTTAGGAGACTGGCCGTGCAGGCGGCTAGTTTCAGCAAATAAAAACAGAATCAGTTGCACAAGCCTATTATCTACCAAAGGATTTTGAAACTTTCACCAGACACCTTCACCACAAGAAGCTGTTCAGTTTATTTTGAGCTTAAGTCATTACCTGGAACATTTCATTCTGCTGCTGTGCTTGCTGCTGTTGTTTCATCTCTTGACTGGAAGTGGACACCGCGTGGTGCAAGATTTGGGCTTTCTTGCTCAGCAGGGAACTGCTGGATGTGGAAGAGCTACTGCTTTTCATCATCTTTTCGGAAGAGGAGGCGTAAGAAGACGCATTGTTTATTTTATTGATGATGGTGGCAGCGGATGCCTTCTTATTGAAGTCCACGAGGGATCCCAACTCACCGTTGGTCGACATCATTTTGTTGGAATCGCCGGAATCGGCGCTTGTGTCAGATGCCTAAGGGGGAAAAAATGCATTCAATTAAAAAAGAAATAATGGTAATAAATGCAAGATAAACTTTTATTTGTAAGTTGGGAAACGTTTTATTACACAGGTATAAAATTCACTTTATATAATTTCGCTTTTTTTTTTTTTTTTTTTTTTTGAATGGCCTGCAATAATACTTTAATGATTAAAGTATTAAAAAGGAACTTAATAACCGAATTTAATCGATTACCGAAATCCGAAAATAATCGATTATTAGTCGGCGATAACCAATCGATAACCGAAGTCCGAAATGATTTTCAGTTTCACGAAAAAAGACAAAAAAGAGAAAATACCTTTCTTTACTTGTTTCACGCAACGACTGAAGAAAAGTATGACTTCAGTTTGGAAAAGAGTTCGTAGGTCACGAAAAATTGTCAAGATGTCAAGCATATACATATTTCACATTCGCATATTTTACATTCTTTCAGTGGCTAATCTAATGCCTTCAAAAATTTTACTAGAGGGTTTAGTTTTACCCGTTGGAATAAAATTCCAGCATAATTATAAAATTATTACTACACAGTACGAACTGCTTGTATCTATCCACATCGATGGCACTGCGTTACTAATAAAATTTCACTGTTATTTCGTACCAAACGCTTTTATTGTGTTTTGGAAGAACGCGTTGTTTTCAGAATATGGTCAGCCGCCCAGACTGTAGAGTCATTAGGTTATTTTGAAGCATTCGACACGAGAAATGTGCAATGCCCTCTCCAGGACTCGAACACTGGACCTCTCGAATATGCATCGTCCAGTATGTGCTTCCAATTACACCACGAAAGCATGCGAAAAGAAGAGGAAAATACCTTATATATTTCCCTTTTTTAAAGGCGACCGGGGATGAGGCGATCTAGTCGCCAAATACTGGTGGTGACGAATTATCATAGGCCACCTTTTAGTTCGGGCGTCGCTTGTAGAGTCACTAGGTTTACCTTCGAGCAGGAAACGTGAAAAATATGAAGTGCCCTCGCCGGTACTGGGTCCTAGACCCCTCGAATACGCGCCGAGTGTGCTGCCTTTACACCACGAAGGTATGCGGAAAGGAGGGGGAAAATACCTTATAAAATTAATGAAAGTAATACAGTTTGCGAAAGATATCTCCTAATGTATATTTTAACCTGAACATTAAAATAGTTTTTCCTTTTGCTTCAGTTTAAAAAAAATTATTCTAGTTGTAAATGGGGGGGGGGGAGAGAGACAGAGAGAGAATGTGTCAAATTCTTTTTATAATATAAAATGAATCGATTTGCGTGAAATCTGCACGAAGAATTCATGCTCCAAAATTTAAAATGTTTCGTATTCGGCAAAAACTGATTATCTTTAATTGGAATTTCACTTCAAAGGAAAAATAAAATCATCTTTAAATCATAAATAAACATAGCACCGTTCTCAAAAACCAGTTTTCGTATCCACGAATACTAGATACATTACTACGGCCGAATTTAGCTAAACTACAACATCTCGCAGGATAATTTCTCAATGACAAATTCAGTGACGAATTACGATGCGTAGAGAATGACCAATAAGTAGCAAATTAAAACATAAAACTATTAAGAGGCTATTAAAGAGCAAAACTAAATTAAAGCAATAGCTAAATGCCATGTAGATAAAGAGCAAAGGTCTAATTATTTTATTTTAAAATTATGAAAGCTGCTAGAATTTTACGCATGTATAGATAGCATACAATTTTACTTTTAGAAACTATAACACTGCAATATTAAACTGTCGTAGTCTGAATGTTAAAATTAAACTAGATTTTCATTATTAATGATGATGCACAGTAGAGGTATTTCTATTAGAACAAACTTCTCCATCGTAAATAATTTAATTTATACATACAAAATGCATTTTCACTTTTAATGGTGGTAATATACCAATAGTAATGGCGGTAATAAACCTAAATTATTTACAACAGCATGAGACTAAAACATTTGCATTACTTAGTTGACCTTTATGCATAAAGCAGAAGTAAATGTAAGCATAATTCCACATAATTTAGATATACCTAGTTAGTGTTTTTGCTCACTGGAAACTTAATTTATTCAATAGTCTTTGCATAATCACTGTTATTTTCGCTTCATTTCTCAAGATAATTATGTTCTTAATTTTTTTCTTTCAATTATGCATCAGCTTCTGAAGTGTACTGATTATATCATCACTATCTTCGCAACTTTCTTCAGACATCACAGTTATGATTTCGGGAAAGTCCAAAATTCACTTGAGGCCAACTCAAAAGAATACGGTAGAGCTTCATTAAGATTTCCAAGAGGAAATTTTCGTAAGATCAAAATGGTGGAGCTTAAAACTTATTGATTCCCAAGGCTAAAATAGATGGGATCATCGATCATCTTAGTCACAAATGGTACGAACAGTGTCGATAATAGTCACCAGTTCAGGACTTACGTATAAGCTACACAAGCTATAGCTTAGGCCCCCGCTTTCTTGAGGGGCCCCCCAAAAATCCTCTAGATATACAAAAATCATATTTGGCACTGGCATATAATATCTGGACTTATAAAGGGCCATATCTCAAATAGCTTAGGGCCTTAACAAGTCTAAATCCGATCCACCGATTCCTGAAAGTGATGTACCACCAATATTGGCGACAGTACATTGTAAAATACTGAATAGTTAAGATTTCCAAGAGGAATATTCTGTGAGATCAAAATGATGGAGCTTAAAACTCATTGATTACCAAGGCTAAAACGGACAGAATCATCTTATTATAATTACGAATGCTTCGAAGAGTGTCGATAATGGTCACCCACCGGTTCCTGAAATTGATGTACCACCAGTACTGGCGATAGTATAAGGTATTTCTCCCACTTCCCTAGCGTGCCTTCGTGGTGTAACAGTAGCACGCTGGGCTGGTATTCCAGAGGTCGTGGTTCGATTCCCAGCGAAGGCGGTTGCATATTTTTCATCGTTCCTGCTTCTAATTAACCTAATGACTCTACAACAGTACATCGAAAAATACTGAACAGTGTTAAGATTTCCAAGAGGAAAATTCTGTGAGATCAAATTGATGGAGCTTAAGACTCATTGATTCCCAAAGCTAAAATGGATAGAATCATTTTAGTCACGAATGCTACGAAGAGTGTCAATAATGATCACCCGTCGGTTCCTGAAAGTGATGCACCAGTACAGGCAACAGTACATTGAAGAGTTAAAATTTCTAAGAGAAAAATTCTGAGAGATTTAAACCACTTTTAAATGTTCCTGCATATAAAAGCGAAATACGTTAAGGTTTCTTTCTTTTTTCTTTCCCCCTTCCCAAATATAAGTTCTTATTTTCTTCCAAAGTAAAAATACTTTCTTTTTGCTTTTCAGTACCTTTTCTCATTATGGCAGATTTCGAAAGATGCTTCGCACTTGAATCATTGAATAGTAAAAATAAAAAGTTAGCATACATAAAGGATTGTTTTCAGGTCACTGAACTGGAAATGTTTAAACTGAGCGGAATAGATAGCTTCCAAAACAAATACGGAAGCAAGCAAATAAATAAAATTGTAAGCAACGCCGATTCGCGGCTGTAACAAAATCATGGTAGCAGCCAACGGCGTAGCTAGAGGGGGGCAAGGGGGGCATCTGTCCCCGGGCGCAGAATCCAAGGGTCGCCAAACTGATGTTACGACATTTTAGAATTAAATGTTTTCCATCCTTGGCAAGCAGTAGGGGGCGCGAAATCTTCAGTTGTTCCAGGGCGCTGAAAACCCTAGCTACGACTCTGGTAGCAGCAACAAAAATAGATTGTTACAGCTGTCGTAAGTTATAAGATCTTCAGGAGTAAGTAAAATAATAATTCTGTTGAAAAGAGCCTCCCTATTTATTACCATTCTTTGAAACTTCACCTGCTGCGGGAAAAGTCTGTAAACGTTCCAAACAACGAAATATGCAACACCACCGAAATTTTCGGTGCCTTTAAAGAGATAAGAATAGCTGGCTCCCCGTACAAAGTTAAAAATAATAATTTAATGTTAAATATGATTTAGTTGTGGCTTCTGAGGACGTACCTAGAGCTCTGAGCCTTGCACAAAGTATAATTTAAACTAAACGCATCACGTGTAAAATAGTTTTAAATAGCATTAAAAAATATAAAATAAAAAGAAATATTTAATAAAAATAAACTGGGGACTTACTTTAAATGCTTACAAATGCTCTTGTTAAGACGTTACAGATATCATCGAAAACCTGAAAATGCTCACAAATTTTGCACACTCTGTAGTCTGAGACTAGATAAATCTAGCCCGCTTCAACGCGTTTTAAACCGTTTCAAACATGCACCTGTAGCCGCGGATTTGCTGAGAAAACATATTAGCTACTACACAGTAGAAAGCAGTAAACTAGATAAAATGCAGCGGGCGACTCACGGAACCAACTGAATTCTTGTCACAACCGCATGAGTCATTCGACGAAAGGGATTGGCTATTTATATTCGCGCGCTGAACGATACGTCACTTCCGACAGTAGAATTCATTCATAAAATTGCCGGCAGACGACGATTCAGCAGTTGCCATCGCTGTGGAATTCGGCTTCCGTTATTTGTTTAACAACTGTAAGATAACGCCGAATTACCTGTTTCGTTATTATTGCGATGACTCATGCTCTCGATATGAGATTCCAAAATCGTACCGACGATTACTTTCGATTCTTCTACAAGGATACAAAGGATATGACTCATATTTGAGCATAGGCTGAAAATTTAAGGTCAGATAATTTAATAAATATTTTTAAACTACGTATGATGATTCACTTACGAAATAATTTTGACGATGAAAAAATATTACAAGAATATAATACAGATTTTATGCAAATTTATATATTTTTAACATTCGCAATTTTGCAATTAAATACAAAGCTGCTGAAAAACAGCTTAACTGTTTTCTAAGTAGCTTTGTGCCAGAAAAATAAAGCACGTCGACAATTATGAGAAATTTTCCCTCTTACATGTATTTTACAGTACGATTTAT